TCAATAAATCAAACACCACAAGCATCTCAGAAGTGTAGCTCTGCTGAACAGAAAATTGATTCTATGATTCTGTCCCAGCAAAACCAGGACAAAGATCTTTAGGAGTTTTGAGTTAACAAGTGCAGAAGCTGGGGGAAGCGAAAGCCGGGTCACACAGAATCACAGAATCACAGAACGTTAGGGATTGGAAGGGACCTCAAAAGATCATCTAGTCCAATCCCCCTGCCAGAGCAGGAACACCTAGATGAGGTTACACAGGAAGGCGTCCAGGCGGGTTTTGAATGTCTCAGTTGACCCCAAGCTGACCCTAAGCTGCCCAACAAAATTTTTCCATACCGTAAATGTCATGCTCACTATTAATTGGGGAGTTTGCCAGAAACGACCCTTTTTCCTCAATGGCTGTTGACTCAGAAGAGTCTTGCCTGTCAGTCTACTTTTGAGGCCTACAGCCCCACTTGTTGTGACTATCATAGCTTGTGACCACTATATCAGCTGAGTAAAATTCTGTGTAGTGTGTATTAATATTGCTATTAATATTGGTTTTTATTCAACCCACAGGTCTCCTTTCCTTTTCCTGATGCCCTTCCTTGGGTAGGGAGGAGCCTTTGGGTTATGGAATAACTGTAGATATAAACCATGACAGCCAGGCAGGCTGGTGAGAATTATTCAGACAAGAACCTTATTAAAAAAAATAAATAAATAAAAATGTGTACAGCAAAATCAAGACCTTCTGGGGAAATTTTTACATTGAAAATGCATTCTTTTTAAACTAGTTTCATATCAGGGCATTGTTCTATTAGAGAAGTCTTGAACAGTTTTGGAGTGTCACCCTAGTTATATAAATGCACTTTACAAGTTCAACAGCTTATTAAAAATTAAGTATGCCAGTAAGGTAGAAAGACTTTAATTACATACTACAAACCACTTTACCTTTTGCTAATTTTAAGAGATCGCATAGCTGGCATTTTAGAACCACTGTGTGACTCTTTAACATTATAGGAAAATGACAGTGTGATGTAACATGATCCTTTTGATCTTTCGAGACTATTAATAAAAAGTAGATTATATTCAAGGTAACACTTCATGGGTTACTTTTTTTGAAGAAGGAGGTTAAAATATTTTCAGCTTGATTCGTGCTCTGTATCCAGATTTATAAGAGCTCTATCCTTTAGCTTTATGTGGTATCCACACTTTTGAGGAGCTACTTCTTTGCTGATATACTGTGCTATTTGTATAGCAGCAAGACAGACTTTCTGGCAGTTTAGCCCAGTGTTGAGCAGCCATTTGCCTTTCCTCTTCATCTTGTTCTTATTTGCCTGTGTCAGTTGAATATTTCACTTCACTTTCAGTGGGAGTACATATAAGAACCTTTAGTATTGTAGCTTATATTGACTTCCTAGATTCTTCTACACCTTTTAGGACCCTTAACCCTTTCATCCTCTCTGCAACTGCATACCTTTCATCACTTCTCTGTCTTGGGGAGCATGGTGCATAGCTTTGCTGCACAGCCACATGGCATAGTGCAGAGTCCTGGATCCTGCCCCAGCACGGCTGTAGTACAGCTGTGGAGTTCCCAGTCTCTAACATCTCTGTAGCTTCCTTCTCAATACTACCTCAGTTGCCTCTGTGTTTAACTGCCTTTCTGGGCAATCTCAATACATTTATTCAATTTTCTCATAACATCTAACCAAGGGACCAGCAACAGAAATAACCTGCTCTCACCTTTTCATATCTGCTGTGCTGTCTAACGTTTCCCTGATCTGTGAGAAAAAAGATGGGGCCTTGATTTCTACCTGGAAGCCAGTTTGAAAAGTCCAGTTAATTTCTAAGGATTTTGGATTAAATATGTTTATACCATCCTACCTCTCTTGAACAGGATTTGCTTAACCAGGAGCATCTGTCTTCTCTTCCCCTATGCATTAGGTGAAGGGAGAGAGCTAAGCATGATGCCAGAGGCCAGAAGGCCTGTTCCTGCCTCAGGCCGAGCACTGCAGTGGCCTTCAGGACTGCAATACAGGGCTGTAGCTGCAGAAGCACTGGGTTTTACTGCTGGCTCTGCAGTCAGGGTTGGTGTCCCCTGTAGTTTGTATGTTCCTTTTTTGCTGGGCTTTTTAGGCGACTGCTCTGGCTCCTCTAAGGAGTCAAAGCTGTGACCATGTCAGAGAAGACTGCTGGTGGGAGTATTGCACCAGTAGAAAGGGTCTTGGGAGCTGATAGCTGAGAACTGGAGGCTTTCAAAATCCCGTTTTCCAGCTCTGACAAATAAACCCTTCCTTGTCCTAAATGCTTTAGTGTTGAACTTAGACTGTCTGGTTTATTAACATGCATCTGCTGCTTTAATGCAAACCTTTGTGTGGATCTGTAAGCATAAAAACTGTCTGTTTTAAGCAAAACAGGTTTATTTTCCTGATTGCCAGATATTCCCCACAGGCAATTATCTGGTAGGACAGAGGGCAGCAGGTACCTATTTGTTTATACATTTAGAAGAGTGGCCAGACTTTCAATGTGTTGTGGTTCACATCTGTAATAGTGGGGTCAGCAGCTGGGAGACAGGCATCTGTGCAAAGCTTTAATGGATCCAGCATATCCAGTGCTAATTGAGAAAGAAAACCCTAAGTCATTAGGAACTTGATTTATGAGCTGTTAAAGTTCTCTCTTTCTTTTCCCTTTCATTTGTCACATTACTTTGGCAAATAAATTTACCTAGTCATAGTGGAAATGATGCTTTACTGATGTTGAAACATCCATCAATGCCTTCCAAGCCTGTGTGGAAAGTTTGAAAGCAGTCTGTAGGCTGACATTTCATTAATTTGCCAGTGGATGGATTCCCAAGTAACAGGCATGGAAGGAAAGCATTCTAGCAAGCATTTCCAGATAGGTGCTTCAAGTAAAAAAAAAACAACCCAGTGTCATCTGTCTGTGAGCTACCATATCAAAAACTCAGCAGCATCACTGAGATTAAGTTTTTTGATCTTTCCACCTACTTTGGAATTGTGGTGATCAAAGTAGAAAAGCTGCAGTACACTAGGGCAAGGCAGAGCCTTCAGCCTTTTCAGCCAGTGATAAAGATGCATCCCATTCACACTCTTTTTCCAGCTCACTGTCCTTGTTGTTTGTGTATCATTTTACCTTTTACAACATAAATGTACTAAGATTTTATTTGACATACCACTTTTCTCACAAACTTCTTGGTTTAGTCAATACAGATAAGTCTCTAATCATTCCTAGATTCCTTCAATTTAAATCTGTTGACAAAAACACAAATGGAATATCTTGTCAAAAGATGGGCCATTATGCCAGGCACAAATGTAGCAACTTCAGCAGAACATCCTATGTCACATTTGCCTCCTATGTCCAGACATTATTAAGATAGCTGCAAGTGAAATATAATGCAATACACTAATGACTAGATAGATAAATATATATGAATGGTAGTTATTATGATACTATTATAATTTATTATAATTCCCACAGAATTTATGGTCATATATTACAAAACACTTTGTCAGCATTACTGTGACAATATGTCAGAGAATTGAACACTGCTTTTATATATTGAATGATTCCTTTTTGCCTTCTTATGACTGAAGTACTCTTCTTTTTCTTATATTCATTATGTGCACTTGTGCCATTTGTAATTGGCAGGCATGGAGGCAATGCTGAATCATTTATTGAGGTTTAATTTAGTAAAGTAACAATAATCACATATCCCATTCAAGTCTCACATTGTCCCTTGGTTTGTGCCTTCCCCTTGCCCCTCTTTGGGACTGCTGTGCTAGTATGGGAAGACCTTTCTCCCTTGAGGGCTTGTTCCATCTGCTGTATAGTCAGTCTACATGCTTCAGTCAGCTAGCAGAAACTGCTCTGCTTAACACATTTTTGGTAGACTCAATACCACCAGGTGTTTCTTGTAAGTGCTGCCAGTCTATAAAGCTGGAACTAGAGCACTGTGGTTTCTGCTACTACTCAGAAGAATTGCTGGAAGATGCAGAGCTGTGAGAGACAAAAAGAATCTGTGCCTATCAGAGTTTCTGCTTACTCAGTTCTCAATCAATTCCTTAATAATGTGAGGAATTTGATGTTGTGATTGCACCTGGCTTAGGCACCTGCCTGTATCCTTAGGCTGTGTGGATCCCAAAGGATGCACCTGTTTATAGTAACCGAAATTATCTGGCAGGCTCTTCTACTGGCATATCTCCTATGCAAATATCTAAAAGAATAGAGGCATAAATTTGCTGTTTAGTGATGACACATTGTTAGGTGTCAAAAGGAATATACAGTTTTTAGGCCTGTAGCACAGCATGTCTTCTGTTGCAGAAATACTACTCAGATGCCTTAATGGATAAAGGTGCATTTTCCTGTGGATTTTAACCAAGACTCTAAGCACCTGTCAGGCCTTCCTAATGAAGGCTCTGATTAATTGTCTGGGTAATGCATCGCATACATGACCTATGCTGCTGTAACAGTAGCCAGAATTATAATAGGATGCCTCTTCCCTATAGTTCTACTGTCAGGTGGATCACCTTTCTTTAGCAGGAATTTTTCTGATTCCACTTTGGTTCTGGTATAACAAATTCAATCCTAACTGCCAGACTGTGAACTCAGTCAGGTTGCTGCTGAAACTAGTAGCTGTATATCTGTGCTTAGTAATTTTTGTGGATGGGGAAAAAAAAAGGCACAAAGTTTTGAGGTACACTCTGTGTGAATTGAGCAAGACTGCAGTAATTCAGTCACTGTGGAAATTTGGCCACATTGTCTGTTCCAAAAACAATTTCTAGCAAATGAGAGAAGTTATAACAATATCCATTATTCATAATCTCTGCATTACACCTCATAAAAATGTGCATGTTTGCATTATTTCATATTTTTGCCAGTTAATTTGTGTTTTCTATCCATGTTCAATTTGCATTCATTAACTCATAGTTTGCTGGTAAGTGTGTTCTTTCTATACATGTTCAAAAAAATTCTTTAATTCAATTTCTCTGTTTCTTCTCATACAGTCTCACAGCCAGATATGCAACTCAGTCTAATCACAGTGGAATTGCAACCAGTCAAAAAAAGACTTCTAGGTCAGTTAAATATCTCTAATTTATTGCTTGTTAGTGATACTCAAGCAAGTATGTGCCCATTGATATTTTATTCTTTGAACATAAGCAGACTTTAAACAATATGTATTTATGTTATGCGTGCAAGCTTCGCAACAATGAGCTTTGCCATGAGAAAGCCTTGTATGGACTGGAAGAAGCTGATTTGTACTGTATTATCAATATTTCTGGTTGTTATGTATCCTGCATCTTTGTATCCTGCATGTAAAATATTGGATGTGAAAGATTAGTTGGTGATTTTAGTGCTCTCTACTCTCTGGCTCAAATCTTTACTTTAGTCACGAGTGGAAAGAAGTTTGGGAGTCCATCCCAAATCCCACTTGATGCTTTGCATGTATCACAAACCCACCTGAAAGGCTGAGTTCACAGAGCCAAGTTGCCAGAGAAGCAAAACAGAGCATAAAAAAAGAACCACTTCCAAGACTTCTGCTCCATCAAGAGTAGCCTGCACACAGTCCCCACTAATGAGATGCTTTGTTTTGGCAGTGAATTTGACAGAGCTGTGTGTAGGAGCTGACCTGTTTCAGATTTCATCAGCACTTTTAGTTTATCATTTCCATGAGCACTAAAATCTACAAGCCAGATTGCAGAAGAAAGAAACCAAGGTCTAAAGCTTACTGTTGTTTCTAGCTTTTTTTTTTTTTTGTGAGGGATAATTAATGTGTTCATTAATTATACCTTTGCTGTACAGTTCATTGGTGAGAACCATGAACTCTAAATTGCATAATCTACAATAAAGATTTCATTTTGCAGTATAGCGCACTAACCCAATGTGAGTTGCTGGTGATAGCTTGGAATGAGCTATACCACGGTCCAGTTGCTTTGCACCTGCATTTATAGGTCTTCGGTTTTCGTTATTGCTGATGCTCCTGTCTTGTCCACATTCAACATGTCGGGGTTAACAGTCTTACTGTCTAATACTTTAAATCTGTGGCAGTGTTTCCGAAGCCTGTGCAGAGGTATGTGACTTGTCCCTTATTTGTTATTCTCCTCTTTGCATTTCCTTAGCTGCTTGACATGATTCTGCAAGAGCAATTTAAAACCTGAATTCTATTAAAAAAGACAGCAAATGAGGTAAACTGGAAAGTGTGTAGAGCAAATGACCTCATGTATAATGTGCTTACTGTGACAAGTTCTCAAATTCTGGAATGCAGAATATATGCAAAACTATTTTATATTTTAATAGAACATATGAGTTTCCAGTGTTGCACATGCCTTCTCATTGCTTTTTTCATTACCTTTGACAAATGATCTCAGGGCTCTTACTGCCTGTCAAATTAGGGTAATGAGAAGGAGCAAATGGATTTTTAAGTTTGTTTTAGTGCATTCTTCAGGGAACAGAAGATCACTCAAATTCATGGGTCATGGTAAAGGTTAGCATGCGTACAGCTGCAGAGCAGAGACAGTCTGCTCTGGGCTCGGCACAGAGAATCGCAGGGCAGGCTGGTGGCCAGAATGAGCCATAAAAATAACTAATGGATCTGAGGCTTAAATTGGTAAAGGAAGAGAATACAGAGCTGTTTACACATATTTGCTAATGAAAAGAAAATTATTTGAACATTTCTGTTATACCAGTATATTAAACAAAAATAAGTTTGCAAGAAATCTAATGTTTTGTAGTTCTTTGTAACATGCCTTTTCTCCCTTCTGGTGCTGCTCTTTCTTAATATAGTGAAACTAACAGAATTCAGTAACTTCAGTATAATTTGTATTGCCACTATTAAAATCATCGTATCATTCTATTAAGTGAGAAACAGAAGAGAGTTATTATTCTCCTAGGGCAAAAGCCTCCTGCTGATTTGAGCATTTCATTTTGTCTATCAGGTAACAAAACTGGAGAGGAGTGGGGGTGCCCACAAAGATGCTGCAGAAAGTTTGAAGTAAGCTTGTAGTAAAGAATCTTATATCAGAGAACAGATTAAGACTGAAAAAAGATGCAAGCTTACACACAGCAGGGACAACACATTATACATTTCTTTCCTTAGCATAGCCACACAATAAGGTTCAGATGGTGGCAGCAAATACTAACAAGTGAACGGAACAGTCTACATTATATACTTCTATCCAAAAGGTATACATGCATCTGTAGCATCTAGCTAAAATAGAGATTTTCTATATTTTTCATTTAAAATAAGGTGGAAGTGCTTTAGCTAATAGCCCTTTGAAAAATAACCAAAGAAGATAACTAAAAAGCCAGTTTTTATGCTAAACACAGCTGTGAAACATTTACTAAAGAGATACTAAATATTTCTCAACTATGTATTGTTGTGCTTTCTAATAAATTTCTGTAACATTTCTTCTTCAAAAGTGACAGATTTAAATAAAAAATCAATATTGCGCTTCAATGGTTTGTTAGGGTGAATCTGTTTTAGCAATGTTAATGGCAAATGCAAAGCATTTCTTACATGTCTTGTGACTCTAGAAAGCATCTTTTTCCCTTTTGTGTGTGTAAGGATAAGCTTTTATTTTCATCTGTGGAGTCTAACTAATTTGAATCCTCCTGTTCGTTGTTGCTTACCTGAAATCATTGTTTTCAGTTGTTGGTTTTAAATTCTGGCCTGGTATTTGCACACTGTCTCCTCTATATGTTGCATTACAAAAAATGAACTGGTTTTTGATTATACCATTCCAGGCTTCCAGGACCCTCAAGGGTGCCAGCTGCAGGCAGCAGTACCAAAGTCCAGGGAGCTTCTAATTTAAATCGGAGGAGCCAGAGCTTTAACAGCATTGACAAAAACAAGCCTCCACAATATGCAAACGGAAATGAAAAAGGTAAGTTATTAGAAGTGACTAAGCTTACTCTACATAACAAACAAAATGAAAAGAAAAAAATCACAAAAAACCCCATCCACAAGGGTCAAAGAAGTGAATGTAATATTTAGACTTGGTAAGGAAAACCTGTGGAGGTAGGACTCTGAATTAGGACTTATAGTTGAGCTGGGATTAAAGTTCAGAACTGAAAACTTTCAAGATGTTCTGATTATATTTTGTCCTCTTTGATTGAAATATCACTGAATGATATTTCTGAAGTAAAAATGAATCCATATTGCATGCTTATAATCTTTGTCCATATTCAAGTCTCTTCGTACCCAAGGGAAGACTGTTGTAATTTTCAGGAGACTTTGCATCTGAGTCTCTAATGGAGAAGAATCAGAATATTGTATTTGCATCAGAATATTACATGCATGTATAGCTTCAGAACCTTACCAGGTGTACATAGAAGTTTGAATCCAAATGTAATGAAATTTTGCAGGGATTTGAAAACAAAAAACATTCTTCATGTTTTATTGCCACTTTTAAAAATGAACCTCCATTATGGAAGTAAACTGAGTTCCCTGAGTCCTTCTGTTTCTCCCACCCTGATGCCATTTTCCTGGAAAATGTGCCTCTTCAGGCTTTATCTCAGAGAAAATAATGCAAAAATTCAGCTTTCTGAGTTGTGTAACTAATCCAACTCCTTCCGCCCGCTTCTTTCTCCCTCTGTGTAATGAACAGCATTTTATTCATATCTCTGAGTTAGAATACAGTTGAAAATGATACAATATACATAGTACCCGTTTGCATCCTTGGGGTCTGTGGGAGGAACAAGTATGCAGTGAATGTTCTTCATCCAAGCAACAGGCAGCTATCCAGATTTTTTTTACAAAATTCTGATGAACACACTTTGCCCCTAGCTGTATCTGAAGATATAAAACCATCCTTTCAATAGTTATTTCTTTATTTTTACTATCAGGGTTGAATGTTTTAGATAGTTCTCTAGTAGGATTTATTTTATCAAGGGCTTATGGCAAGACATCCAGGCTAAAACTAGAAAGAGATCAGAGTGAAAGCTGAGCAGACGCTGTATAGTTCACAAATACGATAGTGAAGTTATGAAGTAGGAGATGAGGCTGCTTGCGTGAAGGTACGTACAGCAGTTTAGGATTTAGAATTGCCTCATAATGTTGACATACGTTTGCTACTGAAATATATGATAGAGTGAAATGATTCAAAGAGAGACATGCTTGTAGATATTTATATTCTTAGCTCTTTACTTGGAAACTGTCTTTTGACTGCTAAGGTTTGCACTGCATATTTATGTGGCTTTTTGCATGATGGATTCCTTTACTTTCCCATTTCTTCAGAGCAGAGAATGAGAACCTTGATGAGATTTTTAGTAAAGTCATCACTTGCAAGAGGATAAGGGGTGGCTTTGTTTGTGTATAATCATTCAGTTCATTTTACAGGATATAGAAAATGTAATGTTGCATAACTACAGAGTACTATGTTAGAGGTGTTTTTGTCTGCTCTTTTTTCTTTCTTTCAAAACAGCAGAATGTATGGAAGAACATTTATTTTACATGAGAATATAAACCAAATACAAGTTTGGTTTAGAGTATAAAGCAGAAGTTAGAGAAAATTACTCCTATGAGTGCAAGGATAGTGAAGTCATATTTTTTATAATACCATAAAAGAACACATGGGAACCTGTATTTGAATCCACCATGTTACAGCTTTGCCTGAAGAGAAAACAGACTGAATCATGCTATATTTTAAATGTAATTATATTAGTGGCTAATTTTTTAATATTACAATGAAATTTCCCAGTAGTCTTTTGATTACTTTTTATAAAGTATTTGAGGATGTTCTGTGACCTGAGGTTTTCTGAATAATTTGTTTAGAAACAAACTTCAGCCTTCACATTAGTAATAGTAACATACAACTCTTTTTTTAAAGAAAAGCGTCGCCATATGTTGATGAACTGATTTTTTCTTACAGTGTGGCACAAAATAGACCTTATATTTCAAATTTTTCTTCCAATGCGAGTGCTTGGAGCAAGGTAACTTCAACAACTTCCATTGAATGGGTATACGGTCTATATACTCTAATTTCTGAGACATACATAATATAGGAAATAGCTTGTGATTCTGCATTAGTGTTGCATAAACTGCACCAGAAGAAGAGATTACTTATGCTAGGTAAATAGGCATTAGGGCTTGAGACCTCCAGACGTCTTCAAGGGCAGACCAATTTTGGTACATTTTTCTCTGCTGCACACTTTTCTCAGTGCTATAAGGAGACCTGAGAAAAGATGTACAGCATAAGGGTTTTTATTTTAATCCAGTTATACTTAATACTTGAAATTCATCCCTGCCTGACATGGTTTCCAACCCAGTCACCATGGGGAATGGATATGTAGTCGCAGAGTTAAAGGAGACCTGAAGGTGATCCAAAATAAGATATATGGGCTTTTTGTTTAATATTTCATTATTTAGTATTTCATTCATTTTACCTCTTTTGAATGTTGCTTAGGGATTAGTTCACACAGTAAGGAACTTGGCTCCCTGAACGAATGCACGTGTGCTCTTTACTGAGTGCAGCCCAGTTTTTACCAACAGACCCAACTCATTGCTGTAATACAGATAATTGTATGTAGCTGTGGTTCAGTCAGAAACACAGAATACACAAAAACAATGAACATGCCATTAGCTGAAAATGCTCTGTGCAGATTTAGTGATCTCACCTTTTTGTTTGTTTTTTTCTGCACTTTGCAGCTTATGGATGGATTTCTAAGAGCACATCTGTTTTCCAGGTCATGTCACATATATCTGCTTCTGATTTAAAAAAATAAAGATGTAAATAAAAATATGAAAATGAAACTATTTGAATAAAGTAATTTTTCACATTGCTAATAAGGTGGATACACAGGGCATTTCGAGTCCAGCAATGAAACAATATTCTAATTCAACGGAAATGTTCATAGTTGAACAAGCTGAACTCTTCTAATCTCACCAGATAGACTTCCCATTCCTCCAAACATCCTTACAGCAAACCCTTGCAGCTCTTGCATTTTCTACTAACCTTTTTTATTGTGAGTGAATAAAACTGAGTACAGTAATGTGGGCACCTGCCTGTAACAGAGGATCTAGATTATCAGTCCCTAACTATGCTGCGGTGAGGGAACTGTTGTCACAGAGGTCTTGTCTTCTCCAACAGCACAGGACACAGCAAGAGTCACAGATGCGAAGCCAGAGGAGGCTGATGATATACTGGATTCAAGTTTAACCCCTCAAGTGTCCTTTATTTGTGCAACAGCTTATGACAGGTGGACTTGAAAATGTCCATTTGATTGTCATGGTCTTGCTGGGGTCTGGTAGAAATTTGTCTTTTTGCACTGAACCCCAGAGGTGTTGCTGTTCTTTCCCAGCACAGATTGGGCTGAGCCCTGAAGCACAGAGCTCTCAAGCAGAATGTACAGCTGTTTTCAGCACAAGCTGATTATGCATTTAAGCAGGAAGGGTGTTAGGCCCTAAACAGATGCCTGTCTTCATGTAAAATTTAGTTTCTAGAAATATGAAATCCTTGTTATAGGTTAGATTCACTCTGTATGAAAATCACCACAAGATGGGGACAGATTTCATATAATGAGCAGCTAAAGGTAAGCCCCAATCGAATGTGCAGAAAGCAATGAATGATGTGAAGCTTCAAGTAATGCGTTTGGTCTGAGGGGAAAGAAATCTTTTTATTCCACATCTTTAAACATACAGATAGACTCTCAATATTTCTTGAGAGCATGCAGTCCACATTCCTTGCGGAAATGTTAAGGATACACTTTAAATTGAAGATTAAAGGCAAGTTAAAGTTCTCTGTAACTTTTTGGATGCTCTTCATGGTTCGTGACAGGGAAATCAAGTAAGTAGCAATGGTTCCAGGAACCTGTGTTTCTTTGCTATATTATTTAGCAGAACAAGCTGTTGATGAAACAGTAAGTACTGTTCTTTTTACAATTTTTCCCTTCACTAATATTATATAGCAAAAAATATGGCAAAACATGCATCCTTCTTTTTAATCAGATGCTTTTTTTTGAAGTAAAACTAATAGCCTGAAGCCATACAAATGTAACAGAATTAATCCAACAGAGCGTAGCGGCATCCCGCTGTTCACAGATTGTGACATGCCTTCTGCATTAGCTTTGCATATTCTTATGGCAAATTGGTCTTCTGCAAAACTATTGGGATAGCTGAACACCCTAACCCTCCTGTGTAATTAAGGCAAGCTTAAAGCAAGGCAAGATATGTGCTAGAGGGTCCTTGTGCACACCCAGTCCTAGGCTATCAGCCACGGGACTGATCCCTGGTATAAATTAAGGAAGCCTGAGATCTGCAGTAATTTCCAACAGCTGTTGTTGGCCCCATGCTCACCAGAAAACAGCAGGGACTCAGCTGCAATTCCTGCCTTGGTCACAAGGCTTCCCACCAAAGCTGCTCCATGTGCATGGTGCTACCTGGAGCTGGGGAATAAGCCATAACCTCACCTGTCCCAAATAATGTTCTGATGCAACCCTTACCAGTTAACATCTCCTTGCCTTGTAACTGGCCACAGCAGAGCTGCTTGAAACCTTCTGTGAAGGTGGGCTGAAATAATTTAATGCTCTAGGGTTTGCATATTAGGCTGAGAAGCACACGAAAAACTCTGGGGAGATGGAATTATGCAGCATCTACTGAAGGTAGAGGCAATTAGCCTTCTGGGGTGCAGTTGTTAATAGTCTTAAGCAAGTAAAAGCTGTTACATTTCCATTGTGTTACTTTTGTTCAGATTTTTATTATTATTTTTAAACTAGAGCTTCTTACATTCTATGTAGAGAAGTAGATTATGCTGTGTTTGCATTCTCTTTGTTAAAGAAAAATAAACAGATCCACTTCCAGGTTGCTTAAAATCCTCCCTTTCCTATGTGTACTAGTGGCCTTCAGACTTCCAGGTGGGTAGTCTAATCTGTACTAGGGCCTTAGGGCTGAGACTGCAAAAATGAAAATGATGCACAACTTCAAACTCTGTGCTGAAAGGACAAACATCTTCAGTGTCTTCATCTACTATATTATTCAGACGTATGGGCCCCAAGGCGTGACTTTGGCTTCGTGTATGTATGTAACATTAAACACTCTTCTTTTGCCGTTCCATGAGCTCTATTTGCATTGTATGTTTCATAGGCTTTCTTGCAGTAATGAATTTAATATACTATAAGCAGGCTTATGCCTAATTCACTGGCAGTCCTGAAACCAAATGAGAAGACAGTGTAGGTACACTGAGAGATAAATAGCTATGTACCACATATTTGATTGCCAGTGCCACTTCATTCCTCTGGTGCTGTAGAGTAAATGCATTTAGATTCTCAGATATGTTTTGGAAATCTGAGCATCATATAGAAGAGCTTAACCCTTTTGTGCTTTGGTCTGTTTTGCTTAATAAGGCTAGATGACATTTTTTATAATCGTGGTGGTCAATTAGCATAGTTTGATTATTGCAGAAGGAGTTTTGTTGTCATTTGTTTTGAAGAGTCACTGAAGTTCCTGGATGATGGCAATACAGTTAAGGTACCAGAGTCATGTAAACGAGCCTTCTGTATCTACCATAACAGATAACAGTGTTTTGGACCCCAAAACAACTGTTGTTGCTGTACCCATGTAGATGATAGCTTTCAAGTACTGACACTGGTGAAATTGTCGATATGTATTTTTCTCCCTATGAAAATGCACTGGGTTAAGTTCCTGAAGTCAGCTGCTAAAGGCTGTTAGCTGTACTTAAAAACAAAAAGAGTATAATCACCTGCCATTTGTTGCATTTATGAATATTGATCTTATCCATTTAATTTTAGTATCACTCAGTCCTCCTCCTCCTCCTGCCCAAAGCCTTAGCTTTCTAGCACATATTTTGCTTTCACTAAACATCAAAACCATCTTTCTATTTTGTTTTTATTCCAATATTGTAGCATTCTTTTTTCTTCCACGTTGTGGTGTTTTCTTATTAACAAGCGATTGGAAGAATTTCTTTATGACTTATTAAAGATAAAAGCTTTAAATTGGAATATTTAATTTGCATAATGAAATGGAAAGTGTTCCCAGGGCTCTCTTGAGCTCACAGAAGCATTGCACAGAGAAAAGGCATTTTCAATTAGCATCCTCCATGTTCCATGCACAGGTAAACTATGTTTATTATAAATCTCATATAACTGTGTTATAAATGGCAGACGAGTATGGTGTAACCTTCAAGCAGGAGATGGCAGAATAACAGTATCATTATGGTTCTTTCTGTTTTTAAGCAGATTCACCAAAAGGCCCACACCCATCTGCAGGCATGAATGGAAATGTGCAGCATCCCACCAGCACCGGGCAGCAGCAGGTCTCTGCCATACCCTCTCCAAGTGCCAGCAAGCCTTGGCGCAGCAAATCCATGAATGTCAAACACAGTGCAACCTCTACCATGCTGTCCGTGAAGCAGCCTAGTCCCGCAACCTCCCCTACTCCATCTTCAGACAGGCTCAAGCCACCCCCTTCTGAAGGTGTGAAGCCCCCATCATCTGGACAAAAATCTATGCTGGAAAAATTTAAGCTGGTTAATGCTAGGACTGCTCTGAGACCTCCTTTGTCGCTAAGCTCAGGACCCAGTGACAGTGGGAGAGAGGATGATACTTTTTCAGAGTGTGGTGAAATGGATGTCTTAAGCGGTGGGGTGAACAGTGGCGGCTCCACAAGTAGCAGTCCTAAAATTTCACCCAAGTTGACACCTCCAAAAGCTGGAAGCAAAAATCTCAGCAATAAAAAGTCTTTGCTACAGCCAAAGGACAAAGAGGAAAAGAACAGGGACAAAAACAAAGTTTGCACTGAGAAAACAGTCAAGGAAGAGAAGGACCAGGTCAGTGAAACTTCTACAAAGAAGAGCTCAAAAATTGCAAGCTTAATCCCGAAGGGAAGCAAGACAACAGCAGCCAAGAAGGAAAGTTTAATACCATCTTCTAGTGGAATCCCGAAACCTGGATCGAAGGTGCCAACAGCAAAGCAGAGCGCTTCATCCACATGCACGGGAAGTAAGGAGGCTGAAAAACTGAGGACTACAAAAGGAAACCAGTCCCAATCAACACCAAAATCTCAACTGAGTGAGAAGGCTTCTCCTTCCTCTGGTCTTGCTTCTTCTGAAGGGAAAGAACCAAGCGCAGCTCTCACCCCAGGGTCCTCCATGGCTCTGTCAGCCTCGATGGCCGCAAGCAGCAGCCAAGGCACGGGAAACGGTGTCGTCCAGCTTCCTCAGCAACAGCAATACAGCCACCCCAACACCGCCACAGTAGCTCCTTTCATTTACAGGTAAGGTCATGGAGGGAAATTGGGTTTGTGTCATAATTTAGGAAAAAGAGCTAAACCAGATAGAGTAATGGTGGGTCACACTGTTATGTTTCTCATCTCCCAGCTTCTGTCACAGCACCATGCACCTATTTTCCTAGGTTTTTTTTAATTAATGTTACCGTATGAATAATTTCTTCCAAGAACTCTGAGTCTCTACCTTGCATAAAAGCAACTCACTGCAAATATTTGCCATTTAAAATGCAGGATGTTTTGATTAGAAATACGAATCCCATGATACATTCCCTGTGCTGCTTTTGAAAGGTCACAGCTGAGTCAGGTTTCCAGTGCTAATATTCTTGTTTGCAGTTTAAGAACCTCAACATTTATTTGCTGATATTCAATAATATTTGCTTAAAATACACTGTTCTCTTAAAAAATAATAAAATAAACTGCTGATGTTTTCAGAGTACGTAACAGTACTAGTACGTTATTAAAGGAAAAACCATACACAAACTTTTGCAAGTATTCAAAAATATTTCAACATCTTGGGAAGAGAGAAAAGGTTGCTGGTTGCAGATCCTTTTCCTATTTAGTTTTATAAACAAACTAGATATAGACTAACTCCATGGAGGCAGTTAATTTTTACAGGTGATACAAACTCTTCTGATGGCCAAGGCTCTGGAATAGAGGAAAGAACAGTTAAACGTATGAATTTGTCTGAATTTATTTTGCTGCTTGATAGAGCAACTGAGGAGAAGCTGGGAGACTTCACTGTTGTACAGCTCAGAAGACTGAGTGTAGAAAGAGTGGTGGGCTGGTTTGAGTACTGATTTCAGATGTCAGTTGTTGCAGGGCTTTAGCTATAGTTGTGAGTAAATTTAACATCTGAAAAAATGGCAAATACATTATTAAGCAAAATACAGTGACAGTTTTTGTTAGTGACTAGTACTGTAGATAATCTTGGCTAAAGATTAAAGAAGTGCTGAAGTAGGCTCTGAGGGAGTATATATATCATTACACACAACTAAACATAGCTTCAAAACCAATCTGGATGAGTGATAAACTGTTTAAGTTAATTCTGAACAACAGCAGTTCAGAAAATCGTATGGGAGTGGAAAAAGGCGTAATATGGGTTATGTTTATTCTAATATGCAGTGAGTAACCTCTTGAGTTTCAACTAAATGTGTCACTGAACATGCTTAATATGCGCGTTTCTTTGTACCTGGTATAGCTGTAGTGATACAGACAGTTTGCAGTGTGGTACATAGGATGGCCTACATATGTGTGCGTATATAAGAAGAGGGAAAAAGAAGCTATGATTTGCCTTCAGATGCATGTGCTATTTAATGGCAATTTTACCACATATTAATGCCATTTCATTGCATGATGGAGATATCATGTCGTTCTTTTAAGTTTCATCATGAAGCAAAATGTATTTTGAATTTTAAAGGGCGATGGAAGCATGCATCTTCCAGTAAAATTTGGTATTAATAATTGCCTGTTTGCTTCAAACAAACAGCAAAGGAGACTGTATTTGAAGTTAAATCTCGCATGAAAATGAAATTCTCAGAGCCAAGGTCTGATCTCGGAATGCCATAAACCCAGAGTAATAGACCGACTTTGATGAGGTTACTTCAATGTGTATCTGTGTAACTGAGAGCAGAATCTGACCCAGAAATACACAGTAACTACATTCCTCACAATTCTCAAGGGCTTTGTAATAGTACACAATGATTTCATAGAAGAATATAAATATAACCAAGGATAAAATATCCACATTTCCAAAGTCAGCATATTTATTTTTGTGGACACATGACAAATAGAAGTGCATATGAAGCTGGGGTGCTGTATTTACACTTTCTTGCTTTGAAACATAACTGTTTTCTGAGCAGTCACTACTATTTATACACAAAATTTTCAGGTGTGCTTGTTAGCTGCTAGAACAGCTGTGTAGATCAATGAGTTAATAAACAGTAATTACCATAAGTTTTTTACAGCTAGAAGGAATATCTAGGCTCTGTAACTTTGTACTGCAGTCCTTGTAAAAGTTGCAACATAATTTAATAACAATACAGTGCATTTTATCCAAAGTCTTGCAGAATACTGCACTGTACTTCAATATACTACTGTGCTGAGTTGAGGCTGTTAACATAAGGCTAAGTAAGCCAGTGCTGCTTCTGGTTTGTTGCTGATACTTGCAGATATTGTGTATTTTGCAGTGTTTGATTATTACCCAAGAGGATATTACTGTAGATTTGTGAGTAAAAGAAAGTATTTCAAAGAGTTTCTTTGAGGCTGACATGTATTTTGCTTAAGCAGAGAATGCAGAACTGTAACAGTTATCAACACTCATGTTTTCAAGAAGCTGTGTATTTTTTACTAATGGACAGTAGATAGAATAATACTGCCTCACTAGGAGGTTCTGAAATAATATACTGCACTATTCTGCTTTGCACTCGTAGTCCTTCGTCCGATCAGATATCACATTGTATTTTTATGCCTTTTAAACACCATGGCATGGAAATTCACATGGGATTATTACTTCTCTTCAAAGATTAGTAGCAACAACCAGAGTTGCATTTGAGATAATGTAAATGGGTATAATTTAAATTCCTCCACTCTCCTCAGCAAGTGAATATTTATTTTTAAATGGAGCTGTTAATATGTTATTTTCAGCCCCTTATGTATCCCCTCTGAAGTTGACTGCAGGGTACAACTCATATAAGAAAGGCTGAAGTAGAGGTAATTTAGTTGCCAGAAAACTTGATAAGAGAGATATAGCGGGGAAAAACAGCTAAAAGGAAGGTGTAAGAGACTTTATAATTTGTTATAGTATACCAGCCACTACTTTAAATTGCACATTCTTCTACACAGACAGGACTGGAGGAAGATGGAAATTGTGCCATCTGCCAGCATCCCTTGAACTCGTGTTGAAATTGGCCATAGAATTTAGTTATCTTCCTAGCAGTGCTTAGATTTTGGATGGTGAGCAATAACACAGAAGTTTAGTGCTTACTAGGTTACAGTGAAAACAGGGGAAAAAAGAGACACTGCTGAATTAAAAAAAGACTGAATGTTTCTCCTAAAATCTTAGCAAGACAATAACAGCTTAATTGCTCAGTATTTGGAGTTCTTTACTTGCTCAAAACTGTAATATATCCTGTAATTCCAAACATTTTCCTGCACAGAGAACAGCCTGTTGTATGCAATCATTGCATTACATTTTTGCAAGCCAAATTGTGTAGGTTCGCACCATTTCCACAAAATGGGAAACATAACTAATAGTCCCAGGAGAAAGACAAAAGTCACCTCACCCTGTGGGGCAAATCCTTAGTCGATGTAAATCATCATAACCCTACAGGCAGTATGTGATATGTTGGCAATTTACACTTGCTGTGGATTTGCTCAAACTGAAGGAATATTTCAGTAGGAGAACATTGAGTTATAAGTGGGTGCCTGTACTGCAGTTTAGTTTTATTTTATTGACTCCTCCAGTAACTGCTGTAGGAGCTTGGTGAGTCTTTTTTCCATGGCTGGAATACAGAATCTGAAGTGCCCAAATCCCAGAGACTGTGGTGCTCAGGAATTGCTAACTGCCTGAAATGCTGAATGCATAGAAACTGCTGCAGAGAATTAGCTGACTGCTCCTCATCCTGAGCTGCACTTCTGTGTTGTGGATCGCTTAAATTTCAATTCTTCAGCTAAATTTGTAGTTTAGTGATAGTGACATCTGGAAGAAATTTCAGCACTGTCTGAATTGAGACTTTGCAGAGATACTCTTTCAGTGTCAATGCTAGACTACAGAAACCAGTTTGGCACTCCTTTTGTTCCTGAAGAATAGGGAACTGGGAACTTCAGATACCTAATAGACTGGTAGAGAGAAAATGGGGCCAGACTCCTCTCTGAAATTCAGGGTGGTAGGGTGAGAGGTAACAGATGCAAGTTACAGCAGGGGAGATGCTGATTAAAAGTTGGAACCAATATTTTTACCGGGAGAGTGATTAAACCCTGGAGCAGGCTCCCAGGGAGGCAGCAGAAGCACTGTCCTCGGATGCGTTCCAGACTTGACCAAATAAGACTGAGCAACTTAATGTAACCAGACCTGCTTCGAGCAGGGCATTGGACCAGATCACATCTAAAACATCTTTCTGATGTAAATTACTTTATGATTCTATGAAGACTAAAGTGTTCACTAGATAGAAGTAGAGAAAAGAAATATGTATATAATAGAAAAGCATGTTAGCAGGTACTAAAATCTTCTTCCTATCTCCCTTTCTGTATGGTGATTGAAACAATTCTTTTACTAGACCATAGCTTCAAGGATGCATGGGAAGTGCAGAGTGGTGACAGATGGGAAGGAGGATATAATCTGGTTGCACCTCTGGAGGCACAGTGAAATTCAATTCCAGCTGCCTGTTCAGGATGTTTTTATACTGGCTTAGGGAAAAAACATTAAACTGCTCTTCGAGGATCCTGCAAACACAGCATCTGCAGGGTTTGTTGAAGCCATATTTATGTCCAGTTTTAATGACTACTTCTGGTCACTGATGGTGGAGTTAAAACTAAGTTTTCAGTAAAAGACATTCTGCCAGCTAATTGTGTTTGTTAATAATCAATTGTGCTGCTCAATATATTGCAACTCCTTTAATAATGTGATGCTTCAAAGTTATACCACAGTGCTTTATTGATTTCCATTATTTACATTACTGTTCTGAAAATAAAACAACAGTCATCATCAAAATTTTAGAATGATAGGTGGTGCTAAACATTGCCTCACACCAGTTTTACTTGTAACAAAAACAAAGTGTTTAGAAAAAATCCTCCCATTTTCTCATGCTTGATTTCCATTTGTACAAGAAAAGTTTCCAGCGTAGAGGTGTTGGCTTAAGAGATGGAAAGGAAGGTAGTAAGTGAAGAAGTCTTTATAAACTCGATTAATGCTGAGTTAAAACAGCAGCTTGATAATTCAGTTGCTTACTGTTTATGATCTGAAGTTATTTTAAATTGCCATACAGTCAAGTGTGGCCTTGTTACTTTGACTCAACAATGAGTAAAATGTAGGGTAAAGGACAAAGAAGGTTATTCTGTGCAGTTTTCTGCCACTGACAACCATATTAACCCTTTCATAAACCAACTAAGCTTTATTTACAACTAGTTAATCTCCAGTGGGATTCTCCAATGGGATACTCTAATGGGAAGGTTCCTCCTTCTTATTGAAACTCATTTCATTGTTAGAAATCATTTACAACCCCCATGACGAGACTGTATCCATTTATTACTTTGTTAATATTGTCCCTTAACAACTGAGTTGTTTTCCATCTTTTTGATCGCTCTTTTTAAATATGTGAGGGAATACTCCCATCCGCTTCCTTCTCTTTTGCAAGGCTAAAGCAAATGGTCTCTTTTCTTTCCTTTCAGAAGGGTTTTTTTCTTCTCCATGAGCATCCTAGTAGCTTTTCCCTGCAGCTGTTCCCAGTTTAGCTCATGTGTCTTGGACATGGGTGATCAAACTGCTCGTATTCCAGATGTGGTCCTGCCAGTCTCTGACACTGACAGTGATACACATTCCAGACAGCTGCACCGCAGAGAGATGTTGGAAGAAAAGCCCCAGCATATTCATCTGACGTCTTTTGCAATGTCAAGTTAAAAAACAAACAGATTTTTGATGTTATCTGTATTTATCAAAGTTTGACTATTTTGTCACTGACGGGAAATGACTGACTGCATTAAAGACAGCTTATTAAGTAGTATTCCAAATTGTACTTTTAATTACTCCTATACAGGCTTATTTTAAGTGAATGAGCTTGTGCAGGTGTGATTTAGAACAGGATTTGACCCATTAAGCAAGTTTTGCGCACTTACAAATAGGTATAGGGGGATAAATGTATTCTGAGATTGCCATGATTAAAATAGAAAACAGATTTTCCTGTTTTCCTGATGCTTGCCTAAATTAACCTTCGCTGCAGATGTACAGCACTGGGAGAAATGTCAATGGGGCTGCTTTGACTAAACTGAAATTCTTTACATTTTCCTTGATGTCAAGAGAGATGCAAGAGTTTAATTTTATTTTTTTTTTAAGGCTGTGAATAGGTAGAAGATAGAGGGCCATTCATTAAGGCCAATGTGTGAGGTTAATGAGAAGATATTTTAATTTGCTGTTTGCTTGCCTGGAGCTTAATCTGTGCTGCAATCCTACAGAGATCACTTGAGTCATTCATAGGATTACTATGGCCCAGAGAATAAAAAAAGCCAGAATTATAGGGGAAGACAAATCTCACAGTTTCGTCTCTTTTTTTTTTTCACTAGAATGGCTTAGCTAAGCAAAGAGACTTCTACATGCTTTTTCCGATGTATCACACCCTGTGACAGGCCTAGAGCATAGCAAATTGAAGTTTTAGGCACTCCGTCTGTCCCTGGACCTCATTACTGCCCAAGAGCTGGGGCTTCTGCATGGTTTTGCTTGGAAATCTTTTACCCCTAGACCATTCTCAGCCCATCTGGGTTAGCTCAACTCCAGAAAATAAATCAGGGCCTTAGCCATCGGGCACCAAAAGGCAGGGCCTCTGTGGAAGTGCTGGCAGCTGGCAACCCAGTGGAGACCTGGTGGGACAAGAGCTATGGGTGAGAGCCCTATCACCAGGTTCCTCAGTGTACCTCCTTCACAGCTGCCCAGGGGCTGGGCAGGTCCCTTTTGGCCCATCACTTCCACAATAAATAATCAGTTTTCTTAAGTAAGCAGAATTTTAACTGCTGCAAAATTCATAGTCCTCTGTGGGATTTCTGTTGTTGCCTCAGATAATTAAAATCATTGATGTTTTTACCAAATTAAACATAAAAATGCTGAATTAAGTCAATAAAGCAGTTTTTTTGTTATTTGTTCTGATAGCAAATCACATTTATTTTACATTACGTTTAACCTTTCAAGTTTCAAGTAAGATGAAAGGAACGTTTCATGCTTTTTAGAGCTGCCTATAAATTTCAGGCTGCCTATAAATTTAAGAAAACCACATCATATTTACCTTTGGTTTGTGTTTCCATGGTTTACTTTCTACAAATTAAATCAAACATTTTTAAATTATTAGCATTACATGATCTTCATTATTCAGTATTTTTACTTTAAGGCTTAGTTGCCAATGCCATTTTATGTCCCAAAGACTAGATTTTGTGCTGCAGTTAATCTCACTGATCAGATTCTAAAATTTGGAATGGAAATCTTTGCAAGTGTTTTTCAATTTCTCTGCCTTGTTATAGCTGCATCAGGTTTTTTAAAATTAAAAAAGCCAACAAAACACTGAAAACAAAAACCTGTTTTAACTGATATTTGTTATATCCCTGAAAGTTTTGATATTACCTGGGCAAGTGAAGTTGTGAACAAGTGAAAACTTGTATTAATTTTTATTTTAAACAAACATATTCATTCATCATGCTGAAGTATACTTAGTTTATGTAGATCACTCATTACTTGTTTGTACTCTTGGAAGGAGACCCAGTCCTTTTAACATAAGTATCTGTGTTTCCATACAGTAAATAATGAGTTATGTTTTGGTCTGTATTGACTGTGTGGGTGATAGTCACTGCCAGAGGGCGTTCCAGGTCATTGGAGTTCTGTTTTCCCTATCTCCATTCACTAGATGAAGAATCAGTGCAAACGCTGGGTATTTGTGACTGGTGAGGGTCCAGACCACTTAATCCTTTTCTGACCATAGATGTTCAGATAAACAGGAATGGACCCTTTCTGTCCTCTCTTAGAAGATTACTTACGTGTGAGGCTCTTGGTCGCTCAGGGAAGGGTTTGAATCACCTGTCTGGTTTGATGCAGTGATTGATGGTTGAACAGCTGTACAATCAGGAATGCAATGCCATAGGGTAAGAAGGAGAACAGGCAAAAAAATATCTCTTTTTGCTTTCAAAAAGAAATGGACTGCTGTAAACTCCATGTACATTTTGGGGAGAATACGAGGAATACTTGAACAGCACCCACCTAGCTGGGTGCTCTTCCATCAATAACAAAAAGCAATCTACTCTTTTCTAGTGTTCCCCTTAACAAACTCCAGGTTTACTCTGGCTCCAGCCCTGACAGCTCCATGATTTGGGTTGAACAAAAACAGTGCAAACCACTTCAATTACCATTACTATTATTGTAAGTGCCTTTTCTGAGATGTGCTTTAGGGCACATAGTTTGCCCTGGGCTGATCCAGCACTAAGTCTCAGCACTAAACCCAGACAAGAGTACTTATAAGCATCCGTGGCCTCTCAAAGTGGCTTTCAGTGAAAGCAGACATACCCTTCATTCATTTTGATGATTTGAAGCAATATGGGAAAGCAGTTGGGACTCTGGAATTTCGATGTGTGTTCACTGGGGAGGAATAGAGTGGGCTTTCTGTTACTTAGGTCACTGTCCTCAAGCATCATATAGAAAATTACTTTAAAGGTCGGTAGGACATAGTTAACCTTGCAGCATGTGCTGCATTTATGTTTCCAGTAGTGTGTGACAGAGAGAAGTGGTAGACAAGAACCAAAAATAGGTTTTTATAGAGCAGTTGTCCGTTTCCAGCATCCCAAAAGTACAGCAATGGATAAGAAAGGCAGTGCATCAGATCAGATATAACTTACATTTCTATTTCTATGCAAGTGGAGTCAGAGTTAAATTATGCTAATCAACAGATTCCACCATTACAGTACTTGCGTTGTTGTATGTGCATATATCCGCTCCTTCAGTAACTGCCATGAATTACTGAACAAATCCATTCAGTAAGTAACTTTGAAGAAAATGTTAACTGGAAAGTTATTTCATAAAATAAGTTGCCATAAAATTATTTTGAGGGATATGTCACTGTTTTTCTTAGTTAGAATTCTAAAATACACATTCATCTCACAGTTAAATGTTTGTATTTACAGTTTAGTTAGTCATTGGAAATACTTGATAGTGAATTTTGAGAATTGAGCTATAAATATAGTATTTTTAAATTAGGATATAAATCTTTCACTAGTCTTTTAAGAAACTAAAAGACTGAATAAGCTACTCATGTCAGAAAAGTAGAAAGAAATGAAGCTCTTAGTGAAGACTTTTTTCCATTTTATTTCAAAATTTGGGTAGTATATCTTTAGAAGTATACCTTTACTGTATACAAATGTGGTACAGGTTATTATTTGATGGCATCGTGGTTCAACAGTTCCTGTGTAAACTAGATGCTACAGCTATTCTTTAAGAAGATACGATAATTCTGTGATCTGTTCTGTATTATAATCCCAGTGCTTGTGTATTTCTTGCTGCTTACCGTTATGCAATAGCAAATAATGGTATTCAACAAAGGATACCGATTATAATTTATCAATGTTATCCACAGAAATATACCATCACAGAAAATGTGGCTATCTGTTAGCAAGTTAATGGAAAAACTTTTATTATCCCATTTCCCCAGAGTTATATAAGAGGCATTATCAAAAGAAGCAGCACATAGATTTAAATATCTGGGCCAGATTTCCATTCCAGCCTTGCATAAGCTTCTTCCCACATGGCCTTTCTCGCTTAATATTTCAGCAATTACAACTTTTCATCTTCCTTATATATGTGCAGGGATGTGACTTAACCGATTTAAATGGATTCTGTCTATGTCTGGTTGACACCTCTTGCAGAGAAATAGCGAGGAAACAAAATGGCTCCAAATTTCGCAGCATTAACTCTGAGTAATTCTTGAAGAGAGAGAAAGAAAGATTTCCTAGTTGCTTGCAGATTTCTGTAGCTGGAGTCAAACTAGCACAGGAAGAATGTGACATTCATGGTAGTTTCACCATATAGTGATGTGATTCTAGATAGAGCTGCAAGTAAAATTTGTTTCCATTAATACATAAGTAACATATAATAATTATTAATCTTCTTGCCTGATTTCAGAACTCTCTCAGAAAATGACAGTACCTCTTTACCACCTGCTGACTCCTGCACCAGTCCTACTAAAATGGATTTGTCATTCAGTAAGACTGCCAAACAGTGCCTAGAGGAGATATCTGGTGAGTAACAGTAAATCAGAAGAAGCCTGTGAACTTCTTTATTTACATCTGTTTCTTACCAGGAGCTTGCAATGGGTTGAAATAATACTTCTGACCTCTATTCATGAGTGGTATTAAATATGCAGAAAATTTGGGTCATGCATGGTTAGTGCTTCAAATGCACAGTTCTCTTATCTGAACTGGGTCCTCCTGTTCAAACATCCTCTTCATCATTTTGCAGAAACTGGGCTTTCACAAGCGATGGTTTCGAGTCTTTAATGTTAGAGTCATACTGAGTTGTCCAAGAGGAGCAGCGGAAAATCAACTGCAGAATGTTTGACAGAAATCATAACATCAGAATTGAGACATAAATTACACAAGATGTATTTTGCTTTTATAAATGAATCTATATTCAGAAAATGGGAAAACAAACAAGTTCTTACTATTCTACCTGATTTTTAAGCTGCTGCTAGAGCTAAGCTACTAATGATTGTACTCTGGAATTCTTTGTAACCTTCTTGGGTTACAAATGTAAGGGGAATTTTTTAAATGATATTGGAATAACTCCTTTGAAGTCAACAGAGCCATGCTGATTTCCGTCAGCCCAGGATCTGGCCGTAACTTTGCCTACAGATGCAAAAAGCAAAGTGTGTCAGAGCTGATACTCTCATCAGGACTGAATTGCACTGCAGGGTTGTGTGGGAGTACTTTCAAAGGGACTCTTCACCAGAGCTGTTTTGTTGAGTTTTGGGGGTTTATTTTTTGTTGTTGTTGAGGTTTTTTTGTTATTATTACCATCTTTATTCTTATCACTTTTTTACGAGAATAAAAAGTGAAATACTGTCCCACTGGATTCACCTGTAGTTTTGCCCTTTTACTCCAAACCTTTAACATTCAAATGAATCTATAACGAGTCATGTGGTTCTTATCACACAGGATATAACTCACTTTAAAGCACTCATTTGACACATCAGCTTAAAATTATCTCTCCACCAAAAGGGAAATCAGATGCCCAAGCTTTGTGGGACTGCCTTGGCATTTAGCTGACTCATACTGAAATTGAGGTTTTGTCCTGGTTTGTCTCAGTCCCTTGGGAAGTTTCTGGAGCTCAGCCAGCTTTTGTGATAAATATGTCAAGCTGAAACCCGGTGAAGTGTTCTATGGAGGTGACACATGCCTGTTAGAATTAAAGTAAAAAAACAATTTTTGTTAGTCCAGAAATCAGACTCATTGGTCTTGTATGTATAAAGAGTATAATTGAAACACACAATTCAGAAGATGCTTCAAGGAATTGTCCACAGAGATGCTAAAAATATGTATCAGTTTACCACCTGCTGTAACTATCAAAAGGAGTATCACATCTCCTGGCCTTTCACTGTTCTGAACAGAAATGGAAGAGCATCAAAAAGAAGAAAATGGCATAAAGGGCACTAGGCATCAGAGATGCTTCTAATCTGATTATTCAGACTCTGGCATTAGCAGCTGACTGACAAAACAGGCAGCAAAGCAGAATCAGTGGGAAAATGTGGTCAATGGTTTGTTGTATACAGAGGAAAATAGATATGTGTCACCCATGATTGGCTGATAGCAGCAAAAAAGAATGAATGGATCAAATACTACGTTTGCTGAATAGGTAATTGTCTACATTGCTGAACTATCACCAGGTCATTGGTGATTCTGTCATTGGTGAGCCTGCATGGCAATAAACTCTCATGGCAGCTGTTCAGGGGAGTGTTTCATGGTGGATAAGCCATGAAAAAGGGTGAAATATTTCTGCTATTTAGGAGCATCTTTAATCTGGTATGAGCAAGGGGTTATACCAGTAGTAGCAAGGAGATAAGCAAGGGTAATTTCCTTGGTCTGGTGACTTATATTCAGAGTTAAGAGATGAATCCCAAGTTTCTTTCATTTTGATATTACCTTTTCCTGAAATCTTCCACTTCTGCTATGGATGGGCATCATCTTCAAGCACTCAAGCTTCTTTTACAACTTGGTAGCCAAACACACTAGCACAATGTATTGGTAGGCAATAAAGATCAATAGGCATCATGCCAAGGGGCTGAGTATTGTTAGAAAACACTAAACAGCTTGTAGGAGAGGGTTCATAAATTGCTATCCCACCTGTATTATGTTTCTGCTTCATTAGCTTTTATTATTTTTACTGTGCCAAATATTTGCACCTAAAGCTAACATGCTGAGGGCTAAGATATCTTAATCCATATCACTGTATAAACTGTTTCTCTACTTTCAGAATATTTACACACCTGTGTTTGTTATTGTCTCTTGACTGAAGATTACTGCTCCCATAAGTAGCCAAGTAGATAATATCAGAGCTCCTAAATCCACTTCAGGGCAAAATCAGTCAGTCTTAAGTTAATGCTGTAAGGATGGCTGGTTCAAGACTTTTCCATGATATAGACAAAGCTTGGATGGGGAGAAAATAATTTTAAAAAGATTTAGAAGTGGTTGTTCAGGCACCATTCACCTGTCATGATTCAAGATACCAAAACCAAGCTGATTTCCTTGCTCTAGTTGTAGATGATCATGGCTCTGTTTTCTGTGCCCAGCAAGGCAGTTCACATGCCTTCGCCCCTGTCTCAACACCAGTGGTGAGGAAGTAGAGAGGGAAAGTGAGAAGCTGTAGGGGTAGTTTCCAGCTCTCCTCTGCTGTGTCTTTCTCCCTGTTTCTAATGGAGCTGGTTACCTTTAAAACCTCTCCTGTCTTCCACTCTATAAGCAATCTCTTGGTATTACTTGTATAGCCATGAGAGGAAAATGGTGCTGGAAGGTGAGGGACATGGTGATGCTGGTGTAAGCATAGACTCAGAAGTGCTTCCCTGATAAACAGAACAACCTCTTTATTTTTGGTTTGTCCTTGTAAATCTGCTGCCCTAGGTGATTTCCCACATGGCTCATGCCTAAAGCTGCTTCTGCCTCTTGGTAGAGCTACTGTAAATCTGATTTTCTTTGCTGTTCCTCTCTCTCTCCTTGGAATTCGTTCCAGATGTGATCTGCAATGCTTCAAACTTTCATCCTACTTCTCTTTTTTTTTTTTTCATCTGAATATTCTACAGCTCAGCCAGAGCAGTCCCAGATGTTTCTACTGTGCACGTGCAGATCAGTGGTGCAGCTCCTGTGCAGGAGGTGTAAGGCTTCCTGCACACCTTGGATCCCCTCTGCGTGCACAGGGCCAGCAATACCTGTATACACACCAATTGAGTCCTACTTGTAGGCACGGGTCACCATGCAGTAGTTTCAGTGCGCTCTGCATACAGTAGACTCACTGCACATGTGGCACACAGATGTGTAGACTTCTGTCCAGGAAATCACAGACAGAAATGTGAGAGTCCTAAATAAGGACCAGTTCTGTAGTCACGTATGAACGCTCTTTCTTGTGGGTACTTTATGTAAGTTACCTCAAGAAGACTACTCAGTACCTGTGTTTCTGCAAAACCTGAGTAAAACTTTACAGAAAGGATTTTTAAACAAGAATGAAAAGAAAGGCTGATAAAGTAACCCACTTTGGAACTTGTTTTCCATTGTATGGCAATGAGCAAGTTGTTCAGGCTTTCCTACTCAGTATTCCTTCTTGTAGTACCTGTGACATTTATCAGTCTCTGCTGCAAGTTTATTGGAGAAGGATGTCAGTAAGTTAATTATTCAATAATCCCTTGTAAACTGTACATGTCAGTAACTAAAAGGTATTATTTTATTAAATCAGTGATAGTGTTTGGCTTTAACAAGTGTTTACATATTCAAAGAGCTTAATGTGAAGTGTTTGATTAAATAATTATTCATGAATTTACAAATATTGACTAATTATAAAAAAATCTGATGGATAAACCAGAAATGAAAGAGTAATTTTAAGAGTTACAGATGAATATAGATGGCAGGATTAGCATAAAAAACATTAGATTTTCAAGCTTTTATGTTTACTGTGTTTCTTTTCTGGTGTCTGAAAGAAATAGTTAATTAATAGTTGTAGAAATAGGTTACAATATTTTTTTAAGTAAGCTTGGCTGAAGAGATTCATAATCTTATGCACTTGCAGATCTGTTACATAATTCATTTGTAAGGCTCCAAACTATGCATGGAGACTTCAAAGAAAGCCTTATCTGACAGCAAAATTTGTCCCTAGATTATTAGTTCTGAAAATAATTTTTATAATTCCTTTTATGACAGACAGTAAAAATAAGGTAATATGTTACACTGACTATGATGGGTTGGGAGAATTCCCTGTGCTGTTCTTGATTTAAAATTATTCCTGTGTGGTGGGTGGGGAATACATTGAAGTGCTAGGTAGTTGGGGAATTAATGCTCTGTCATGACATTTGCTTAGTTTAGAAAGCTGTGTTTGCTTGTTGCTATATTTAATAAATTTTAAATCAGAGGGATAAGCTTTATAAAAGTATTTATCAGTAAATAAACCTGAGAATTTTCCACCTTGCAATTTTACATTTTGTTGAATGACACCCTGCAGGAAGGTGTGGTAAAGCAGAAGGATAAATTCAGTCTTCTTTGTGCTTAGTGCTTGGTCCAAGATGTACATATGTTTCTGCTGTATCAAGATGATCATGATGCCTTGTCTACTGAGTGAGGCACTGGGATTAGTGGGAGAAAAAGTCATAATCACATACAGAATCACACACAGAATCACTCAGTTGGAAAAGACCTCTGAGATCATCATGTCCAACCGTTCCTGTCTACCCACTAAACCATATCCTTAAGTACCTCGTCCACCCGCTTTTTAAATACATCCAGGGATGGTGACTCCACCACCTCCCTGGGCAGCCTGTTCCAGCTTCTGACGACCCTCTCAGTAAAGGACTTCCTCCTTATCTGTAACCTGAACCTCCCTTGGCACAGCTTGGTGCCGTTTCCCTTTGTTCTATCCTCCATCACCTGGGAGAAGAGACCAGCACCCACCTCTCTACAACCTCCCTTTAGGTAGTTGTAGGTGGTGATGTAGTCTCCTCTCAGCCTTCTCTTCTCCAGGCTAAACAACCCCAGTTCCCTTAGCC